TCATCCTAGTCACTATGAAATCCAACCTAGAGTGTTATATCATGTTTAGTTGTCATATCTGCTTAGTACTCTGTAATATAAAGTATTCCCAGTTTTCCATTGTCTTTGATCAGATAGACATTTTTGAAGAATATCAAAAGCTGTCCCATTTCCCCCCTCAATAATACGTAACTTTTGCAATTGTGTTTGTCTTTCATGTTTCCTCTTCATTAGATTTAGATTTTATATTTTTCAGCCAGAATTTACCTTCCCCTTCCTTATTTATAAAGTTATTTTTTTCAAAATCAGGAAATAATGCTGACAGGTTAATAGTTATCTAAGTGCAGACTTTAATCAGTTTCCTTCAATTATCCCCCAAATGTCTTTAGAGTAAGACATTCCCGAAATCTGGTCTCCTGTCTGGAATAGTTTCTCAGTCTCCCTCTGTGTTCCACGGTGCTGGCATTTTTGAAGAGCACTGGACGACTGTTCCGGAGCCTATCTCAGTGTTGGTGATCAAGTGTCCTCACGGGTGACTCGGGTTTGCCCTCTCAGGTAGATGCTGCCCGAGGGGCGCTGTGTTGTTCTGGGTACCTCCCACTTGCAGCTCACTGCGCCTGCATGTCCTGTATTTTCCTTGGATCACTGCTTCAGGTGGGTCTGCCAGGGCCGTCCCGTGTCAAGTGAGTCTCCCCCCTTTCCAGATGGTGAGTAGCTGATGGAGTGTGTTGCAGTTGACACACTCCTCCCTCCCCAGGTTCTCACGCTGGGCTCTGAATCCAGGATAGGTGCCTAGTGGTGACTTTAAAATTCTATCATTCCCACCACTACTTCACCTCTGTACCACCCCCATAGTTCCGTGTGCTGTAATTATATTGATTTCTATATATTCATATATATGTAATTTTTTTTAAAAAAGATTTATTTATTTGTGCATACAGAACTGGGCTTACTGGCCAGAGGTGCAGGGTGGTGAGAGGCTTCACCAGAGACAGAGTGGGGAGCAGAACAGGCCAACTGATGAAGTACACTGCTGAGGGCAGCAGCAGGTGGGTCAGGAGAGGTCTGCGGCGCCATGTAGGGTCACCTCCGGGGTGGGGATGGAGGTGGCTTTAGCTTTTTAGTGCTGTGCTTTAACCCGCTATGCCACCAGGGAGGGCCCTGTATATAAAATTTTTTAAAAAGTTAAAAAAAAAGACTGTATTACACACACAAAGAAAATAAAATAACCGTCATTCCGTTTTCTTATTTGTTGGCTTGCTTCTTTCTACAAAGAGAAAATTCCCTTATCTTTCCCTCATTTGTTTCTATCAGTGCAGACTGATGGGTTTTTACTTTATTCTGACTTGATGATCATTATTTGGATGCTCAGCTTGTTCTGCACTGGGCTGGGAGGCGCCCTCTCAGCCGAGTCCTGGCTGTTGGGGCACGCCCATTGTTCCTGGGCAGAGCCTTTCTGGTACAGATTGTCCTCATCTTGTGCTTTCTCTGTGTTGCGTCTCCACGGGGCTCTGTATGGGGTTCCTGTTTCTGCAGAGCCTGGCCAAGAAGGACTTTTTATACTGTTTAATTTTTGCCAAACGTATAGTCTCAAAACAGCATCTCCACATATATGTATTTTTTGGGTCAGTATGTATATTTATTTTATTTATTAATGTATTGTTTATATTTTTAAAAATAATATAGTAGTTTATTTTTACATCATTTTTGTGTTTTTCTCCATCTCAGTTGTAATCCCTGTGGGCTTCCCATCACCAAATCATCTGTGTGCCATCACCATAGCCCCGTGCACACCCCCGCCCTTTTTTGATCCCATTCCCCACTTCACCCCCATAAAATGTCTCTGGTATATAGTTCTTCATTATTATTATTATTACTGTTATTTCCCCCTGGTCCTTTATGCTCCTGCTATGAGTGAGACCATCCGGTATTTTTCTTTTTCTTTCTGGCTTATTTCACTAAGCATGATCTCTTCCGGTTCCATCCATGTTAGCATCACCACATATATATATATATATATTTTAAAAGATTTATTTATTTATTAGTACAGAACTGGGGTACAGGCCAGAGATGCGGAGGGTGAGAGGATTCAGAGAGGATCCAGAGACAGTGGAAGCAGAACAGGCAGACAGACGAAATACACTGCTGAGGGGAGCAGTGGGCGGGTCAGGAGAGGTCTGCCATGCCGTGTGGTCACCTCCGGGGCAGTGGGGGTTGAACTCATGTGGAAGTGGCTTAAGCTTCTTTGTGCTGTGCTTTAACCCGCTGTGCCACCAGGGAGGGCCATGACCACATATTTTTAACTGTTAGGTGTGGAAGCGAACACCTCTTCACCCATTTGAGGAATGCGTGTGTCTGTGCCTAGGACATTTACTGTCTCTGTGTCCAGTCATTAATCTTTATTTTCTAAAATGTAAGTGTTCTTGGTTTTCTAGATCTGAGCCCTTTACCTGTGATACGATGGGATTGTTTTCTCCCATTATAACTGTTCCCTTTTGTTTATGGTGGGTTTAGAACATTTTTTATATAGGCAAATTAACCTTTTGTTCCTACCCTCCCTGATCTTGAGTCATAGTTAGCAAGCCATCCCTTCTATCCAGGTGAGAGGCGACCTGCCCATTCCCCACCCCAGTGCCTAAACGGCTGGCTTTGTTTAACATTTAGAGCTCTGATTCATCTGGAGTGTGTTCTTGGGTATGGTTTGACGTATGGATCTAATTTTATCTTTTTCCGAGTGACTAACCAGTTGTTTTAACCTTTTATTAAAAAGTCAGTTTGCCCCGGTGATTCTCGATGTCCCTTTATTATGGGCAACACCAAGCCTCCGTCTGTGCTCGTGTCTGCTCCTGGACTTTCTCAGCCACGACATGCAGGCGGTGCAGTGTGTCTGGTGTGGGGCTCCCGCTGGTCTTCCACTTGATGCCCCCTGGCTGTTCCTGTGTTTGTGTCCTATGTGAGGCTTAGAAACACTTGTGGGTACACTTAACTTGGACCACATTAAATTTACAAACTACCTAATGGTCATCTGATATTTTTAAGATGGAGACTTTTCCTATCCCAAGATGAGAATTGTCTTATTTGTTGAAGCCTGCATTTGTGTGTCTTTTTAGGACTCTTCAAGTTTTCCTCAAGTAGGACATTTATTTTTAAGTATTTTATGTTCTTTGAATGCCTTCCTTTTCTTGTCCTCCACTTTATTTCATGGAGATTCAACAGGTCAGGACAGGTAATACTGGAATGGATTTTCTAAGGTTCACGGGGGTCTGCTCTAGCCTAATGTATTGTCAGTTTTACTTTGATGCATTTATCTTGACTCTGATTTTTCCCTCCCATAAACTGCTGTGGAAACTATCCCCACTCCTGAGGGTTTTCTTTGTTATGTTACATCTATAGAAGTGGTTCTTGGAAGTGAAATTTCTCATTCAAAGACCATGTGGATGTTTTGGTAATACGGTCCCCCAAATTATCCTCTCAAACTTGACACGTGTAAGAAGTCAAGTAAATTTTATATGTCTGTTATTAGAAGACATTCAAAAATCCCTTTGAAAAGAAGCATCATGTAAATTCTAAACAAAGTTTTTATTTTTATGTCTGTTGATATGGGAACTGTGAAAATAATAAAGGGACACTTTTTATTTATCCTGAATATAGTTTTGGAAATCAGGTATATATTTGTTTTTATGTGTGGAAAAAAAAATACAGTTTTGTCAGTAGATAGATGCCAACTAAGTTGAGCCTAAAAGCGAGTGTTGAATTTAGTAGAAAGAATCCAAGACATTTCAAGTGAGTGTGGCTCAGATGAAGGTAGAGGCAGGATTTTTACCATGTCCTGTGAGGTCAGTAAAACAAGTGGCCTCCAGGCGACACAGAATGTTTGTGTTCAAAGATAAAGTAAGGGCAGTTAGTGGAAGACCTTGGGTGCCCAGGAATTGGATGTGATCCACTCAACAGCAGAAAGCTCTTTGAATTAGTGCCCTATTTATTGCCTGTTACCCCAAACTTAGTTGCACAGAACACCAGTTAACATTTACTCTCTCAAATGGCTTGTTGTAGGTCAGGAACTTGGGAGCAGGAAGCAGCCATGGCATCTTCTCTTCCTTAGAAGCAAGGCACTAAATCCAGCCTACATAGAAGGGGGTGGCAGGTGGGGGGCACTAAGGAGAGCAGTGACAAAGGGTCTGGGAGCATAGTCAAAAACTACCCAGCTGTCTGTTCAGAAGAGGAGTGGTGGTAAAACTTGGAAAGGGAAAATCATCATGGTATTCAAAGGAAGACTAATCTGGTCGTGGCGTCAAAGATGAGTTGAAGAAAGGGAGAACTAGGAGGTGAAGTAATTGGACAGTAAAGTAATGGAGCTGGTAGGGGAGATGAGTGAGAGGTAGGACACACACGAAGGATGAAGGAGAATGAGTAGAGAGAGTAAGATAGGAATAATAAATGGTCTCAGGGTTTTCAGAGCTCCAGAGTGAACCTGCATGTAATAACCGGAGAGCGAAACCAGTTTTGAGGAGATAAGGTTTTTAGATAGTCAACAGGAAATCCTGAAGCCATTGAAACTAAAGGACCAAGGTTCTTGTTGAAACTTCTAGCCAACAAGGGGACATGCATAATTCTTACTCTAGAACTGATGGTTAGATTCTGGAAGGGATGCAGAGAGGGCAGAGCATGGAGAACCATATCTTTGGGAAAACTGTGGTCTGAATGGAAGTAGGAAGAGGAGCCAGATGTGTAGTGTCAGAGAGAAGAGCCGGCTGTGTGCTGGCAGGAATGAAGACTGGTGTGATCAGGGGCATCAGATGTTGCAGAGTCTGAGAACGCTGCTGAAGATGAACGCATTTGCCTGTAAGACTATTAGAGGTGACAGCAGTTTAAGGAGAGTAGAACAATTTTGGAAATTGGATTATATCACTTAATTCAATGATTAACTTTTGAAAAAATGCTTGAGGTGGGAGGAGGAGTGGCTGGCATGCCTCTCTCCTCCATCAGTCGTGTGACCTGACATTCTTCTTGCCTTATTCCAGCACCACCAAGCCTCCCTGGAGCGGTTCTCCTGCTGCTCTTGGATTGCGGGATGAAGCCATTGTCCACATGCGTTTTCAGGGGATTTCTTAACTGTAAGTGAAATCAATGTACCTTTTTTTTTGCATCTTTCTTTTAACTGTTCTTAAGTTCTTTCTCTCCCCTTTAATTCCCTTCGTTCTCCTTCCTCCTGGTTCCTGTGACCTTGAGATTGCAGTCCAGAGACAGACCACCTAGTTTCTCTCTCCCTAGTCTCCTAACTTCAACCCTGATTTATTATTAATATGGTTTATTAATCAAACTTGCAGGGATACAGCTTATACAGAATAAGTACGATTAAAATAGTAATTGATAAATGTAAATATTATGTTGAAAGGTGATTTTGCATTCTTTAATGCTTAGATCTGTTTATGTATGTAATCAGTTTTTATATTAATAAAATGATTGTCATTAACGTGGAGGAAGAATCAAAAATATTTTTAAAAATATGTAGAAAATTTCAAGATTTCTATAAGGATTTGCAGTAAATGGGGCAAAGAACTCCGCAGTAAAACATTGACAAAGCCAGAAATTAAATCTGAATTTTTGCCACTATATGGTGTACTGATAATTACTATTTCAGCTTTTTTTCTTTGATAGGGTTAGTGTTTTCTTTTTTTAACAGTTAGAGGATTTTTGTTTTTAAAGATTCATTTATTTATGCATACAGAGCTGGAGTACAGGTCAGAGGTGCAGGGGCAGTGAGAGGATTTACCAGGGACAAAGTGGGGAGCAGAACAGGCACATCAGCTGCTGAAGGGAGCAGTGGGCTGGCCAGGAGAGGTCTGCTGCGCCATGTGGTCACCTCCGGGGCGGGGGATCGAACTAATGCTGAAGTGGCTTTAGCCTCTCTGCTGTGCTTTAACCTGCTGCACCACCAGGGAGGGCCCAATAGGGTTATTTCTTAAAACAAACAAACAACAAAAAGAATACCCTTTGGGTCCACTAATGACTTGAAAACTAAACTACAAGAGTAGCAGTGGCCACGATTCAAAATTAAAGAGTAGACTTAATATGCCATGAATTAAAACTGTTGTTGATACACAGAAAAAGATGCTTGTTCTCAGTGACATCATCTTTGAATAAATAAGGCCGCACTAAATGCTGCAGTCTCGTTCTGCAGCACACATGGCCTGTGAGCACAGGCAGTGAGGAGGGGACAGTGAGGCAAGGTAGCAGGTGGGGGGACCTGGGCCACTGGCAGGGGCAGCTCAGAGGAAACGGGGCTGCCGGGGAGGCCGGGGAGCAGCACAGGCCCCCACCTGTAGTCTCTGGTAGGGTAGGTGTGAAGGAGGAAGAAAAACGGAGGGGAGAAGGTGTCTCCTAGGAGGGTACTGATCGTGGGGTTTCTACAGTTAAAGACCTGGACAGATTTGAAACAAAATTCCCTTGACTTACTGCTTGTACTTGGGCAGCTGTAAGAAGTGAATGTGGTAGTTGGCAGGTGATTTCCCTTTTCCCTCTTCCCACTCACCCTCTCTCCCCTGTTCTGAGACTCACTTTGGACACAGGCGGTCCTGGAAGCTTCTTCCACTGGCTCCTTCCATTCCTGTCCTCCACACTTTCCAGATTCATTGTCTTCTTCTCTGCCCCTCTGTCTCCAGAATGCCCTGGATTCGCTATCACTGGGCTCCCACAGCATGCTGTGTCTCCGTGTGTTTTCCCTACTAGTTGGAGAGAGCACATCTTACTTACCCTGCCTGTGTGTCCTCACATGTACCAGTGGTTGCTCAGGAAGCTGGGTTCTTTCCCATGCCTTACAGTAGACACACTTCGCCCGGGTCCATCAGTGTGATGGGGAAGTGATGGGGAAGTATCAGAGCTCTGAGGCTTGGGAGCTCTGACTGAGAGACAGACCAAGATCCTGGGGTGGGCTAAGGCAGTCCTGATCTTGAGGTTCTCTAGGGAGTAGACTTCAGTAAACCCTAGGAGCAAGAAACAGATGTGTTAGCTGTGGTGTGCTAAGTGTTGCTGAAGAAATCTATGTACAGATTGCTCTGGAAAAGTGGAGTTAATTCAGTCTGGAAGGTCTGGGGAGATTGGCGTTGGAGTTGGGCTTGGAGAGGATGTGGCCGCTCACCATATGGAAGAGGAGGAGGGGCGTGCACCAAGCTGTAGGAGCCTGAGCATCATTTTCTGAGACATTGAAACAGCTTGAGATTCTTGGGAGGTGGGGTGAGGGAGAGAAAAGGAGAGATTGGCTGGAGCCTTGGGTCTGATGCTGATTACTTTGCTCGTTGGTTGTGGGTACATTGGGTTTTTATAATGGGAGCAATGACATAGTTTCACATTTTAGAAAAGTGCCTGGCAGCAGTGTGGAAAAATGGGCCGGCAGGGCCAGAAGGAGAGGGTAGTCTAGTGAGAAGACATGTGCAGCTGTCCAAGTGAACAAGGTGAAGAGCCTGGGTTAATGTCCTAACAACCGGGGGAGGTCAGGTGTGTGGACTTCTGCCATAATCTACATAGAGTAACCGGGAGAGAGCTCGGATAATGCTCGTGTATTTTTCACACCGTTAGCCATTAGCTGGGAGAGCAGAATGGAATTGTTGGGTGTAGATTTGGACAATTGAGGATGGAGTATCCATCTGAGATAACTAGCAGACAGTTGGAAATGTGACTCCAGAGCTTAGGAACAAAAGATAAGGAGTTAGCTGTACATGTGTGTGGAGGGGTGAGGTTGCAAAAGCAGATCTCGGGTGCAAAATGCAGGGGAGGTGTGGAGCAAAGGATTCTGGGACGCTCCAACATGTAAAGGGTGTGCTTGCAAAAGAGCCTCTAAAAACACTAAAAAGGGAAACAGTTAATGTTACTGCTACCAACAGGTCAGGCTGGGGTGAGAAGTAAAAGGAAGCCGCTGGATTTCCCTAAATTAGAGGGTCTCAGGGAAGATTTGCAGTAGTGGTGTTAGAATGACTCAGTGAAATGACTAAGTGCTGTGGGCATTAATGAGCAGAAACAGTGAATTCAACAGCAGTTTAAAGCAGGAGGTACTTTATAGGTAAAGACAAAAGGGAGAGGTCTTTATTTTGCATCAAGTATGTAAATGTGTTGCTAGGGCCTGACTGCCCCACAAACCCTTTTCCGAAACTTACATGCTTGGATCCTAACCCCCAAGGTGATAGATGTAGAGGGTGGAGTTGTTGGGAGATGATTAGGGACTAGTGCCCTTATGGAGGAAATCCCAGACAGGTCCCTCCCCCTTCTGCCATGGGAGGGTAAAGACCGCAGTCTGAGAACCAAGAAGAGGGCCCTCCCTGGACACCAAATCTGTTGTGCCTTGGTCTTGGACTTCCCAGCCTCCCGAGCCATGAGAAATAAATGTTTGTTGTTTAAAGCTACCCCAGCGTATGGCAAAATGTTACTGCACTAAGGCATACTTACCTAGGTAGAAGCAGTAGGATGAAGAAAAGCAAGTTCCCAAAGAAGATGGGAAGAGGATGAGTCCAAGAGCGTAAAGAGAAAGTGAGTAAGCTTCCTCTTCCGAGGCTGAGCAGTGGAGGCAGTGGGCTGGCAGAGCTGGTAGCTCCAGAGAGGTGAGGAGGAGAGCTGAAGAAAGTGGGAAGGAATTGCTCTGAGCATTTGTCTGGCAAGGCCTTCTTAAGAGGACTCCTGTTGGTTGGAGGGCTTGAAAACGGTGACTGCTTGGAATGGCCGTTGCAGGGACTGGGGAGGAGAGCTGAGTTGGGGCCAAGTGGTGGTGCCTGGCTCAGCACAGGGCCTGGCTGAAGGGGAAAGCAGGCTGTTTACCACATGGAAGCGTTTCTGATTTTGCTCCCGTAGTGCAGGGAGTTGGGACAAAAGAACTACAATACGATTATTGCTTTTTCTAAGTCTCTGTTTCAAAAGGATTGATTATAAGATTCTTGTGACTAACAAGCTATTTCGTGGTGTTAGGTTTCTTGGGGGGAGGTATGGTAAAATAGCCTTTGTTCATGGTAACGTTGAGTAGTGTATTAAGCATCTTCACATTGCTGTGTGACCATCACTGTCCGTCTCCAGCACCTTCATTGTCTTTCCCAGCTGAAACACTGCACCCATTAAATGCCCCAGGGCCCTGGCAGCTGCCATTCTTCTTTGTTTCTGTGACCATCACTGCTTTGGGTTGGATGCCTCATGCAAGTGGAATCCTCCAAGATCGTCCCTTTTTGTGGCTGGCTTGTTTCACTTAGCTCATTTTTAAATCCTCGTGGTTCATTTACAGTTTCCTGCAAGATTCTTAAAAATAAGACTTTTCACACACTGTTTTTTGCAAGAACACAAATTTATACAACTATTACATATCCTTAAAACCTGCCACACTCGTTGACCCAAGGAAGGGAGGTGTGGGAAGGGGCCATTCCCCATGTAACCGATGCTGTACGTAGGCAAATGCTCATTGAGGCTTTCAGTCTTCACAGCAACTCTGTGGGGTGGTTACTGGTCTCAGCCCCACAAGAAACTCAAGAAACTGAACATCAGAGCAGGTAAGTAGTTTGTGCAAGATAAAAAAAAAAAAGGTTTTTGAAGAGAGTCAGACATTTGTCCAAAATGGAGACGTGTGTAATTGACCTCACACAGTTACTGTTTAACGTTGTCTGGGCATATTTGTCCACTTCAGAATTTATATGAGGTGGTTTACAGAACTAAATTAACAGGAGGTATATGTAGCTTTGTGAAAGAAAAGCTTTTCTGATCAAATTTATAGTTTCCGTCCTAATCACAGATAGACAAGGAGAATATTTTTTTTTTAAAGATTTATTTATTTATTCGTACAGAACTGGGGTACAGGCCAGAGATGCGGAGGGTGAGAGGATTCACCAGAGACAGAGCTGGAAGCAGAACAGGCAGATCTACAAAGTACACTGCTGAGGGGAGCAGCGGGCGGGTCAGGAGAGGTCTGCCATGCCATGTGGTCGCCTCCGGGGCAGGCGGGAATCGAACTCATGCGGAAGTGGCATAGTTTCTTAGTGCAGTGCTTTAACCCGCTGCGCCACCAGGGAGGGCCAAGGAGAATATTTTTAAAAATGAAAGATACATGACCATTTTTAAGGCTCTCACAAAACAAAACGCTATTCAA